GATAGATAAATTGATCTTAGCTAAAACTAAATCTACGAAACTGTAAACTGTTTTCAGTAAAAATTAACTTGAAATTCCGGATGCGAACCGTTTCGTAACCAGTTTGCAGCTTTGGGAAAAATCGGTATAATCAGTGTAGCACCAATAAGTATATTTATTAAAAGATATTTTATTGAAAAGTACTTAGCAAATTATATTTTCAGTCGGCGCTTGCTCCAGGATAACGCTCTATAAGCATGGCCACGCCTTGACCACCAGCAGCACATGCCGCAACTACACCAAGCTTTCCATCCTCGCGTACCAGGCGGTTGGCGGTGTGCATACATAGACGAACTCCTGTGGCAGCAAATGGGTGACCAATGGATAGTGATCCACCCCAGTTATTCCACTTGGTTAAATCTACAGCTCCTACTTTCTCGTTTAGACCCATATATGTTTTACAAAACCAATCAGAATCTAAGGCTTTCAAATTGGCCACAATTTGACCAGCAAAGGCTTCATGAATTTCCCAAGTGTCCACATCTTTCAGTGTGATTCCGGCTTTCTTCAAGAGCTTGGGTATTCCATAGGCAGGACCCAATAGCAGTTGGTTGACAGGATCTTGAGATACATAAAGAAAATCACGTAGAAATGCTTTGGGCTTCAGGCCCAACTGCTTGGCTTTCTCCTCTGTCATGATTAGACAAGCTGATGCGCCGTCAGTCTAAAAGTACAACAAATTGATGATATAGTATACATATACATATACCATATACATATATACGTACCAAGAATGAAGCGTTGGCAGCAGTAATTGTGCCATAAGGCTTTACAAACGCTGGCCTCAGCTTTGCCAAACTTTCTGGGCTGGAGACTCGAATGCCGTTGTCTTTATCGACAACTTGATCAACACCTTGAACTTGAAGAGTAACATTTTTATGTAAAATATTGAGTGCAATCAAATATTATTTACATACCTTTAAAAGGCACCAAATCCGTAAAGAATCCATTTTCCTGAGCTTTTTTGGCCAGGGTGTGGGATCTTAAAGCGTAATCGTCCTGTTCTTTGCGTGTGACATTAAAAGCCGATGCCAATCGATCGGCGGAGTGACCCATGGTCTCTCCAGACGAGAACTCTGCAACAGCCGGCAGCTGTAGTTAATATAAGGAAAGGAAAACATTTATTATTAAAGCTTGAGTTGATATGCTTGTTTTACATACTTCCGGAGCCAAGAATCCTGGCCTGAATGTTGAGAGTAACGAAAGACGCTGTCCAAGCGTTTTTGCTTTATTCGCCTTCAACATAAGGGCTCTCATCTTGCGTGAATGCCGGATTGGCACATCAGACATAAACTCAACGCCTCCAGCAACAATCACATCGTACGTGTTCGTAGCAATAAGTCCCATGCCAGTTGTTATTGCCTAAAATTGTATATATAACAAAGGACTGGTAAGTACTAAGTTGCTTATAGAGTGCCAAGCATGAGTTTTTACCGCATTGGAGCTTATGCACGCCATTGTAACCGTGTGGGCAGGTGTCTTATCGCTAAATCCAGCCGCCAGTGCTGCCTCGCGCCCAATATTCGAAGTTTTCACCTCCTGTATAACGCTGCCATAAACAATATAATCAACAAGTTCCTTGTTGATTTTACTCTTTTGCAACAGTGTTCTATATGCACAAATATATTATTATCAAATGCAATGTATTGTTTTCGTATCAATGAGAACTTACAGCAACGAATGCCTAGCTAGCTCGTGGGGCATTAAATTCGAGTATGATGTACCAGATGTCAGAAAAGGCGTACGAACTCCATCGACAAGCACAATGTTTTGGCTGTTTCCGCTTCGTTTGGGTTGTACGGCGGCTTGGACGGACAGTTGCCTGTGTCCAACTAAAGTATAAAATTAATTAATATTTCGAAAACTATTCTTACAACTATATTCAATATTTATTGTATTTATATAACTATAAATATGTATATGCTTTCATGTTCATTAATTTGATTAGTTTTTTATAGTATAGACCTTACGATTCAACATCAGTTGGCTGCCTAACAAATCAGTTTATTCGGCTAAATACATATATATTCGTGGAATTTGAACCCAGAAATCGCCTCTGAGTGCGTCACGTAGATAATTCATCTTATAACAACTGCAACATACTCATTTATTTGGATCTGTACTTTACTCTAAAATAAATGGACTTTGATCACGCAGAATTGACGTCGTCAAATGCTTCGCCTACTTAATTTTTACAAGTATGAATCTTTGAAATTTACTTACGTCTTCTAAAAAAGCTTGTCATATTTAGATAACTGTTTCGTGTTTGAATAAGTCGGACGTTCATTTTTAATATTAACAAGTCTTCAATATATGATCGATGCTTTAATTTTATTTCGCCGCTGGCTAGCGATGGCCAGATAATCGACAGGGATATGTTTCCTAAAACTATCGCTACCACTCCGATATATATATATCGATAAATAGCCTTTACATTACGATATGTTGGCAGTTTAAGTACTTAGCAGCTAATTAGTATGTTAATTCATTTGAATATATATATACATACATGTTCGTATATTTTCTACTTTCCACACTTTAACTACATTCCTATTCATTGAATAGCAAACTGAACTGGCAAATAGTCCCATGCTAACTTGCTCATTTAAATAGTGCTGCATAAGTAAATTACAAAAGTAGAGTGCAGAATGCCTAGTTCAAGGTTGAATTTAATTGTCTCCTTTAAGAAGAAAGGGTACAGGCACGTGCAGCTCATTACATTTACATACATACATAGATAATGTACATGAATGTAAGCATCAAGGCCATTAAAATGCTACTCGCTGCACTTCATTGTTAGGATAAGTATTTACATACACATGTACATGTGTACAGTATGTAAAAATTCAAATACATAAGCGTGTACATATACACGTATATAAAAAATAACGGTGCATTCATACTGTTAGGCATGTGGGCTCAAGAAAGTTGAAGCCGTTATACAGTCGATAATGTCGACTAAATTTCCCCTTTGTATTAAACTGTTAATGCTAATAGACTGATTGAGTGATTGACTGACTGACACATTGATCAGCACTTCTTACGACCTTAGTCAACACTTAGACGAGCGTGTTTTCTATCTGATCGGCTTAAGTCTAATTTTCAACGCCCTACATTAAACTTTAACTAATTTAAAAATAACTTAGTTGCAGAGTTTATTGAGAACTTCTTGAATTTAAATAACTTATGAACGATTTTCGCCATACCAAAGTTTATTTTTCGAATGATTACTATATAGTTGACAAATTTTGATAAGAATTGTCTCATATATTAAAGAGCATAGTAAACATATTTTTTAATTGATCAACATAGAAATTTCGAACATGATTCTCATGAGCTGCTTTCGAATCACAGTTAAGTTAGCCGGCGTTCGATAATAATCGATAAGAATCGATATCGAAAGCTTATTCTGTGAGAAGAACTCTTCGGTCTTAAGAGTGAGACTCACGAGCTCCGGCTTATTGTATAGTAAGCATAAATTAAGTTAAATTAATAAAAATTACAAGCGGAACTGCAGTCCGAATTTTAAAGATGTCCTTTTTGGTAAAAAGCTTCTGCTATGAAAGTTGCGGGTTTCTTGCAAACGGAAACTCAAGCACAATAAACAATTGGATTCGAACCAGTTTGCCTCGAAATAGATTTTCAGCCTTGACTACAAATTTCTTCTTTTTTTTTTTGCTTATTTAACTTTATTTACTTATTGTATAGGAAAATCATTGTACGCTGACATAACTAACTAGTCCTCCAGATTTCTTTAAAATACTTTGAAATGTAAACCCGTTTATTTGTTTTTCTGTACATAACAATTTCTATTCGTAAGAGCCGACACGCAAGACGCGTAAATGTACATCCTTTCTTTAAAATGTGCAATTAAATTTGTCCTTGAACTGCAGAGCGTATGCAAATGGGAAAGTGGGCATGAGGATACAAGGATACAAACATCTGTACGGGAATGGATATACAGGAAATAACAGTCTACTTTCAGCCAGTTATCCGTGCATAATTATCTTTAATGGATGTACATTTAAATCGAACTCTTTGGGAATGTTTCACATGCTTGTCAAAAAAGAAAACTCCAAAACAAATGGATATCTCTTTTAAAATGTTTTTGGAAAGGTAATTACAATAAAGCATAAAAAATCTTGTAACTTTTAGTTAAAATTATATCTACATATCTTCTTGTTCTAGTGAACCTTTTCATGCTGGCTATAAAATCCCAATCATAAAATGTGTTTGTCGGGTTCTTATTCAATTTTTCAAAATTCGTTCAATTTCTCTATTAATATTTGACCTTCAATCTGATAAATTACATTTTGAAGATTTGCTATCGAAACCAACGGACATCAAGTATAGCTCCGATTGTACCTTAGATCAATCACATTTTTTACATTTTCTAAAATGTATACAAATAATTTAATTTAAATTAAAACAAATAGATTACAACTTATAACTTGATTATATTAATATTTAAAATATGTACATCTTTGATCAAAAATTAAATTAAATCTCAAATTATCTACGTCAATCAACTGATGACAACGAGACAGGTGAAAATGGAAAATCAAAACGGTTATTTCTGCTGATCAAGAATATAAATATGAATTCATACAAATAAAATGTTAATATAAAGGGTTAATCTCTTTTAAAAAAGAGAGTTTACCTGGAATTGTCATAAAGTCTAATCAGAAATACACATTAGTATATTTAAAAGAAATGATTGATGTATATAATGTGAAAATATGTATGTATGTATGCGTGTAAATACATACAGAGGTTAGTTTTTGTTGCAGTGTTGAAAAAAACCGCTGTTGGGAAAGGCATAACACATCATAAAACGAAGTGGCTGCAAGAACAAGTCCGAAGACCAACATGTTCACACGAAGACTGTATGATCTCGCTAGCTGCTGTTGTCGGCTGCCACTGGCTGTAGTTTTAGTGCACAAATAGTGCTTTGGTAGGTCGGACGTGTTGTCGGTGTGCGCGTGATTTAAGAGAGCCGCAGTGTTACTTTTATACGAGAGAGAGAAAGAGAGAGAGAGAGGCAAAAGCCCGATCTCTTGCTCGCAAAGTCGGAAAAAAGTTTTACCAATCAAGTTTTTTATTTCGCAATAATGTATTACATATAACAAAACTTCAACCTAGTTAAAAGTTACTGTTGTTGTTGTGAACTTTTTGTATGTGTGCGGTACACACACATGCATATGGATTGCCATCAGTATGTGCATGTGTTGTTTGTGGCATTAGCAAAAGCTAATAAAGCTGTGAACTGTACGTGCGTTGCTTAAAAACAAGATCCAATTCAAAAGAGAAATTAAATCTACTCTGCTACTATCAAACTGTGTTTGAAAATCTCGAACAAATATGATAAACAAAAACAGAAACAGTTGCCTTATATATATGAACGTGTGTAGATGTTGAAACTGAAAGTTACAATTAATAAATATATACAATTTATAAACATACATTGTACATTTCTACATGTGTTAATTCTGTCGTTCAATGCAAAAGGAATAGAACGCGTAATTCACACAACACATACACGTTCAGGTATATGTTTGTCTGTGTGTGCATACACAAACTTTAACCAGAGACTGTGAAAGTGGAAAGCTCTACTGAGTCGCATACATGTATGTATGAATGTGTATGAATACATAAATATATGTATGTATGTGCAGAAAACTACTATATTTACATGTATGCATGTACGTATATGCCTTACATACATACATATTCAGAAAGTCTACAGAAGATTTTCCATCTATTTGTGAAAGGGAGTAATTGCTACAAGATTTAATGAAAGAGGTAAGACGATAAAGTTTATTTAGAAAATCATGTTTTACTACATATGTATGTATATGTCAAAATGGAGACAGTAAAAGTGTTTTATAAACAACAAATAAAATGTTTGTAAGCTGCACGTTTAATTAAAATATAAGATGGACAATTAATGCAAATGTTTGTACATTAATATGCATAAACACATTTACACAATGCCAAATTTCAAGTTATGAAGAAAAGCAGACAATCGTACTTAAAGTTTGAACACACACACATATTAATGCATGTCTATATGAAAACATATACATGTATGTATATGTATATAACTGATATGTATGTAAATGTGCAGCAGAGCCCAGTTTTCTGTATACCGTCCGATCGTCACGATTAACGACAGCACAAACAACTACAACACTAAAAGATCGCAACGCAACGCAACGCTCACCCAAGCAAGAGACAAGAAAGGCTTAGTGACCTTCATAGCGTGCTTATATGAATGTATTCACACATATACAGACGCATGTATAAATGTATACGTATAGCTGTTTATATATAAATCTATATATGTATATACAAACATATTTCCATTAGTGTGTGTCTGTCGTGTAAGAAACTTGTGTTGTGTGCACGTCGCTTACGCTTGTCGCTCTTTCTCTTTCATTTATTATTGCGCAGAAATGTTAATAAGCTTCGTCAATATATACAAATATGTATGTTTTTATGTAGTATGTACGAGCGCACAAATATATATGTACATGTATTGTATGTGTGTACATGTTTTGACTCTTAAGAAAAAGTGCATTCGTATAAATTGAATGTAAATATTTTCATATGAATGTTTGTATGTATATTCATCATACAGAAAGTTATGTAGAAGAAGCATTTCACTTTTTCCACTGAAGTTGATGGGGAAAAATGAGCTTGTTCATTGTTATAATTATGTAATTCAAATTTGGGTCATTTTTACGAGTGTGGCATTTACAACACGCTCAACGACGACGCGTAGTTGTGTGCGAGTATGAGATTTTTTGGCTGGCTCACCAAAAGAGCTTTCGTGAAAGGGGAAAATGAGCAGAAACTTTGCATTACGTTAGTATTGGTCCGTGACAAACTTCAGCGAAAACAAGTTTGATCATGTTAAATCCGCTCACTTCATAAATTTGATGTACTTACTCATGTTCGCATACATACATATGTATGTACATACAACAAGGCAGACAATGTGTTCAAATACATGCTTAAAATGTTTATAAATATTTAAAATATAATTCAAACTCCCTTACTTTTTATAATAGCTGGATTATCAACTTTCGTTTATAAACATACATATTTGTACATATATATATATATATATATATGTATGTGTGAGCATACAAATTCAAACAACGGATTGCAAAACTGTATATGCATTTATATCGAAACTACGACGACAAATTCGGAAAGCCAAGCGTAACTGAGTGATCGTATTTTATATACACAGACACGATTTTCGTATGTATTGCTTAGCTTTCGTGAATACATTTACTCATATACATACATGTATATGTGCATGTGTATTCAGACTCATTTAGAGTAATTCGAAAGCTTTTTTACATGCCTTTATCTAACACAAGCACAAAAAGTAATGAATGAATACACACAAACACATACATATGTATATGCTTAGAGAGAACATCATCGAGGGAAAAGCTTTTTGTGAAAGGTGATGTTTTTGGTCGTTTGTAAGCGCGTTTTTCGCTTTTCAGTTTTCGCCTTTTGCTTATGAGTATGCATTTATAGAAATGTACATTGAAAGTATATTTGTGCATACATATGTACACATGTACGTTTAAGTTGGTTTTTTACATAAAAACAAACGGTAGCTTCGTGTATTGTATGTTGTTTATGTACATTCAAACACTCATACCCAAAAGTATCCATATATGTCACAATATAAAAACTGTGTTTTTAAAAAACGAATGCAACAAAATTTGTTACTATTTTCGAAATATACTTTCGACAGATACATATGTATGTATGTATGTTAGTAACATTGTCAAACAATACTTTTATTTCTGTGATCTAGACGTGTTTCTTTATATTGACTGAAAGGGGTTTTGGCTCATTTGGATAACTGGGATCTCCAACAAATTAACAAATATGGCCTCTACTCCATTTTTTACCAAAACTGTCTTTTCTCATTTGCAAAACTTTCCTTTTATTTGCATTCAATATACTATTTTGGTACTCTTGGATTGGGCTTAAATAAGCTGAAACTGCTTGATGTATGATGTATGTATGAGGTATGATGATGTATGTATGAGGTATGATGATGTATGTATGAGGTATAATGATGTATGTATGATCAGTGCATGTGTGTTTAAAGATTTAGATTTAGATTTTAGATTTTCTTTCTTATAATCTGAAGAACTCAAACGCTGAGGGGAAATCCTGTTAAAGCAGATTTTTTTATGTTTTATTGTTAATTCCTGTCCGAGTAGAAATGTACTTTGAGTGCTTGCTTAAAATAACACAGTTCCGTTTAGTTTTTATTGTCGAGCGCCATGTCGAGCTCCCATAAAAATATACATATAATACGTTGAAGCGTACCATTCTCTTGCTTGGGCAAGCCAGTCAGTCAAGTTTTATTGAAAGTGAACGTTTCTTCTCCATTCACAGCAAAAGCAAGACTATCTCTTTCTAAAGTTTTAGAGATCTGTGAACTTTAGCTTCAATGTGTGGCCCTGTAGACTCACACTCACACACACACACGCACACACAATTCGATAGCCACACATGCACATGTGTAGACACACACACACACACATGCACGCTGTCAATCTGTGTAAGCCCGTGTGTTTGAATGTCTGTGTGTTTAAATACATACAATGTTAACTTTTAAATTCACAAGCTGACAAACCGTGCTCTTGCACAATACAAAATGACACATGGCCTTTTATTTGTTCATATGAATACGTACGTACTCTTCGTATAAGCTAAAACGAAAATGCACTTTTTGATTTAACAATTTCGTTGGTTTTTAAATCCAATGCCCTTTCCCAAAACTTGACACCGACAAAATTTCCCATTACAAACGCATTGGGAAAGCTTTGAAAGCTTTTTATGCATTTGCATTAAGCTCATTCCGAGCATTCCTCGAGTTAAGCCTTTGAGTCTGGTATTAATGCCATGTTATCGGAGAGTTCTGGTCGGGAGTGCCCTACAGAAGATACCCTGTATCTGGCGCCAAAAGGTGCAATGGTTCTTCTTCTTGAATAACTTTCGTAACTTTACTTTCGTATTATATTTGAGCATATACTTTGCACAGTAAACGTTTATTTAATTAAGGGTAAAAGGTAAAAGATATTCAAAGGTAAATTTCTCAAACTTTGTGTATCTATTTGAGTATTGTATATTATTAATACTACAAAATGATATATACATACTGCAAAGGCCTATGTAGGATGTTTTAGATTAGAACTCTCTAGCTTTTAAAGCTGATCGAGTCATTTCTTTATCCCAGACCAAAAATATTTATAGTTTTTACCCATTTTGAATTGTGCATATTCCGAATGAACTTGCTTCACATTGAATCCGAGTTGATAATAATTGAAAAATTGGCAGTAAGAGATTTTCTTTAAAATGAGTTAATTAGAATCATTTAAATACTTGAAGAGTTACTAACTAAACATACATACATCTATTACTATTGCTAACATAAATATATAACGATTGATTCCACAAGAAGAACATAAAGTCTACATTATAAACTCTTTTATTATGTATTGTTAAGCGATCAAGATAATATATAATATATATATGTTTATTGCTATTCACAGTTTCAAAGAATGTTGATGTTGCAATACAGCAAGCATGGTGAGTGCATCCTCAAAGAAATCGGAGCAGCTTTCAGAGGGGAGCATCCAGCAGACTTAACTATCGTGTGTGAAAACAAGGTGAAGCTACATGCGCACAAATTGGTACTCGCTGCTGCCAGTCCACTTATAAGGTAAGCGAATGGATCAACAATTGATTTGTCAATTGGACTCAAATTTGTTTTGAAATTGTAGGAATTTATTGGAGGATACTCATCTGAGTGATTGCACGACAACCGTCTATTTTCCGGACGTCAATGCCACGTATTTTAAATTCCTTTTGGATTTTTTGTATTCCGGCCAAACGTGTATAACGTCGCGGGACGTCAATTATCTGCACGATTTGTTGCTGTTGCTGCAAATTAAGTCGGACAGTTGGAAGACAACAGATTCTGCCTATCTGAGCAATAAATGCTCCAGCATACGTGAGAGACCGCGGAAGCAGTACTCGTCCTCGCAAACTTTAGACCAATCCTTTAAATATGAAGTCGAGAGTGTGGACGAGACGAGAAATACCGCAGACTTTTCCTCGTTCTCAGCTGAAAACTGCGAGAGCACGATCGAGTGTTCGCATAAGGAAAACGATGATGACGACTGCGCCAACAAGGACAATAAGAGCGATAAAGACACTGATGAAATTGTAAATCTTTCGGACATTCCAGCGGGTGGACTTGCCAACAGCAGCAGCAGCAGCAGCAATAACAATAATAATAACTCAACAATAAACCCTGTAAACTTATCACTTGATCTTCGAACGAAAGGTGACAATTCGGCACGCAATGATAGTAAAAATTTTCTGTTAAAACAAAATAATGTCGATACAATCAGCGCACATGAAAGCACAAAGCGAAAAGGACTATTTTTTGACGCACACAAAGATGTTATGAAACCGCTCTCTGATGGATCCGATATAAATAGTTCGCCCGAGAACTACGTTGTGACGCCCCATCGGAAACGTCGGCCCGGCTTTCACAATACGCAGAGCGATAACCAACCCTTCACAACGTATCAGCACAATCTATTAGAAGAATTGCGTTTGGTAAAGTCGACAACATCACCCATATCCGGATTGGCCTCGGAGAAGAACATATTATCACAACTTGAGGATGGGACACTTAATACGGAGACTATGACGCCGGAAAGGAAACTGCTTGAGGCACAGCGAAATCGAGTACAAAGCCCGGAGCTGCATCAGATGCATCTGGGGCAACAGTTTGTATATCAATGGCAATCCAATCAGAACGCAGCCCTTTCTTCAATGCCCAATTTGCAGTCGCGACTGTCAAGTTTATCGCACATAAACCTAAATCTGGACCCAGACGGTCGCAACAACAGTGCTACTTCCGTGTCCAATATCTCCGCGAACAATTCGCACTCATCGTCGGTGCGTGAGTATCGATGCGAATACTGTGGCAAACAGTTTGGCATGTCGTGGAACCTCAAGACACATCTCCGCGTCCACACTGGCGAGAAGCCGTTTGCCTGCCGCCTCTGCGTGGCCATGTTCAAGCAAAAGGCGCACCTTCTTAAGCACCTGTGCTCCGTTCATAGAAATGTAATAACCACAACAAATGGCACGGACACAGAGAATCGATACAGCTGCTGTTTCTGTTCGATGTGCTTTGAGTCCGTGCAGGAGCTGGTTCGCCATTTGTCTGGGCACCACAACAACCTTCTGCTCACCAAGAATCTTCGGGAATAATCTGAAAAAGGATCTGTTCGATTGGCTGGCTGCCCGTTAACGCTAATCGAATAAGTAATTGCAAAGAGACCTGAATTTTATAATTATAAACTTACGGTAACAGTAACAATTAACAAGAGCTAAAGAAAAATAAAAAAAAAAAAAGCTTAGCTCTTGTATAATAATATGTAAAATGTACATTTAAAAACACATAACTTTATTCACACATTCAATTGTTTTTACTCAATCATTTCATCGGCGATAGAACCGTGTGACAGTCAGAAGTGCGAGCACTGCCTATTGGCTTTTAATTTAAGTCGGATTTGACTATGTACTAGATGCAATTAACATCCGAAACTGAAATTGAAACCGAAATTAAAACCGAAACCGAACGGTCGCCTTCTTTTAGCCGCCGGCTGGTCCATTTGTGTGGAACATTTAGGTTCTAAGCATATTTTTATTCAGAAGGTATTGTAATTTGTATTGTATTTTCTACTTGATTCACATTTTACTTTTGATTAACATTTTTTTATACAACACTCCTGCATACATTTTATATGTAGTTTCAATTTTTTAAAATCATAAATAAGCCTATGTAAATTGTACAGAAAAACATTTACAAGTTTGTAATAAAACAAAAGCATTTCTTTTTTAAGTTTTATTCCCGACTTTTTGTAGGCCAACCCGTCGTGAAAACCTTACTATTCAAATTTGTTAAATCAAGTTTTGATCGAGGAAACTCGAAGAACTGGAGTGGAAATTTGTAACGTTGAGTTTCCTTCCGATCATCGATAATTTGCTCCGTTTTCAAGCAATCGATAAAAATCGATGTCGAAATCGAGTTTATACATCGAATCCAACTTAAAGAACAAACAAAGATCAAATTTACCTTTCAGTTTATGGCTACTTTTCGTTCCTCCCCTTCCGATCTCTATAAATCAAATAAACAAATTTGAACTCTCCAACAATTGAAGGCACAATTTTAATACTGCTAAAAACTCGAATTGATGCAACCTGCAAGACGTAATCGAGAAAATCCCAACAGGAACATATGTATATAAGTAAGTATTAGTATACGCATGTTATCTGATTGGATGCTGATTGGACTCCGCTACTTCGCTTCGGATCAAAAGGGACGAAGTCTAAAGTTCTGTCCAATCAATCTTCAAAATTATTTTGGATTTTGAAAAATGGCGGAAAATTTTTAACTTTTTTTTAATTTCCGATTGGTTTCCAACTCAGCGAGCACGAAGGTCTCAGTATGTTTACTTCATAATCAAGAAATGAGCTTTGATTAGCTTTTTGGGGTAATATTTTCGAATTTTTCATAACATCGATAAGAACTTCGATAAATCATTGCGATAAAATACGATTTGTTCGGGGCGAATACACACATTTTTGAAAAATGCGTTTTCTTATAAGAAAATGTACAGGCTACATTTTTCAAAAATGTGACATTCGCAAAAAAAATGTAAGAAATGTGGACACTGGACAGAGCCTATAAGTAAAATCCTATCAATATCATTTAACAACCACATAGCTCTATATTCCTTTAGAATTGGTCGAAAAGTGTATTTTGCTATGCCCCAATTTTCCAATAAGATATTTATATTAATATAATTTGAGCAAATAATACAATTTAGAGCACAATTTGAATCCGTTTGATGTTGCCGCCGGCCATAAAAAGTGTGAGTTACATTCGCATGTAAACGTGACACGCCAATTTATCAATCGATTGAGAAATTGAAACCTCTTATGAAATCTTTATCTGACAGATAATCTTACTATAAACCATAGCTATGCTAGATCTTATCTACATATGGGAAATTGGGTAATAAGATGTTGACACAAGGCGCATTAACTGGGATTCTTATTAGATTTTTGTTAAAATTTAAGGATTGAACGATTGAACGTGGCAATAACTTGTTTTTCCAACTGAAACTTGGTAAAAATATTAATTATATCAAATTCTATGCAATCCGAAGACTCTTTTAAAAATAAATCAAAGTAGTCTTTTGTTTCTGTTATGACTAAGTTGATTAAAGTTTAAGTAGGATTTATTTAACGAGAGCTAATTAAATGGCAATGCAGACGCAGATATGTGTTAAATGATATTTTCACTAAAACGCAGCTAAATAGAATAGAAGAAATGAATTATGTTAGAAAAAGTGAATTTGAAACAAGTTTTTAAGTCAAAGCAAATTTGCCGCCAACGCGAGCTGCTGTCATCGACCCGTTGCCGCAAACGATTGCAACCGAGCCAAAGGTTATAGATAATATTTTCACTGTTAAACTGCAAAAGTATAACAAAACAAGGAACAACGCGTCAGACCGTAAACTGCGTGTTTTTATCTATGGACGATTTTGGTTGCTCGGAGTTAACTTACTGTTATTTTTAGTTAAAATTTACAACTGTGAAGTTCGGAAATAACGGTGCGAAATGTTGATGTGCTCTGTGAATTATTTAGAAACAACAACGAAAATAATTAAATAATGACAGTTGCGATTTTCAGTAAAGGCCAAGCAAAAATATTCCTCAACTGACCAATTCGAGTCGAACTTTGGCATACACTTGTATGTGCATATGTACATATGTATATGTATTTAAATAAATATGTATGCATGCATGTATTTAAATAAAAAATATACAGTGCACATCTCTATCTATTGGAATCTGCATGTGTGCAGTACATGTTTTCATACATGCATTACATGCACATGTGTATACATGCATTACATGCACATATGTATACATGCATACACAGTTATTGAGTTATTGATGGATGTGATGCACATGTATACATATAGATAATTTATATTTATCTGCTCTCACATGCATAGATGTATCTTCGATTCGTGACTGCTTGAACGACAGGATAAAAGACTTTTCAAAAAGTATCTGAAGCATATAAATAGAATACTCAAAGCGGAGCATATTATAATGGCTCTACCCAAAAAGATCAAATGTTTTAAATATTTAGTTTACAGTTATGTGTTCCTCTTGGCGGTAAGTAAAACTAAATTGTTCATTGTTTGTCAAAAAACCAATTTACTCCTGATGCAAAGGATGCATGGGAATGTACATGCATACATGCATGCATAAATGTATTTAGGTGTATATGTATTTGTGATGCAACGACCGTTGTCCGAAGTTGTAAGCCCGAATGCTGCAATTGCATACATACATACATACATATACATATATATGTACTAAGTAAATAAACATTTGAAAAATAATAAAAATTCTATAGCATCGCATATTTAATCATTTATTTACAACTTCATATGCATTAAAAAGCTCAGCACACACACACACACACACACACACACACAGACACACGTTTATGTGTACACATAAGTGTGTATTGTATATTTATATGTACATGCGTACACTGGCAAAAATTGGTGCTTCTGCATTTGACCTTGAGCTAATTTACATCAGCGCATAATATATATGTATTTTAATACATGCATATATACATATATATACATGCATATAGATACATACTTCTGTATGTCACATATCTACTATGTCATACAAATGTAGGCATATTAAGGAACATATGTATGTATGTACGTATGTACGTACATATGTGTCAAGGACTGAAGTTTGTAGGATAACTGAGGATAACTGCACGACTTTAAGCCAGTCAAGGACTCGGACTCTCCTCCCGTTTCTTAGATAAACATTGCCTTAGCTTTGGCAAAGCAATAACTATTTCCGATTAGAAGTTATCCCGAAGCTTATCATAAAAAAAAAAAAAAACAGATGCCTTTCCAAAGGCCTACACTTGAAAACCTATTTAATGAAAATGGAATATAGTAGCACAATTAAAAGTAAATAAAGAAAAACTTCTTCAGCCTCATGGTAAGAGAAAATAGGATTTGATGATTCCTAAAATAAAACAAAATAAATAAATACCTTATTGTCGAATTTGTTGCCTCCAAGTTGACTGTGATTTGGCATTTAGGCTCTCATGCAAGAAGAAGTTTTCGAAGATTTATATAATTTTGTCTTTTTCTGTTTTTGCATGTTAAATGGTCCAGCTAACAGGAGCAGCTCAAATATTTCTGGGAACATCTCTCTTATGGGGACACTCGGTCTATTATGGCATTGTCCAGAACAAGCTGTGGGCACCAGCCGCAATCCTCCTGTGCCTGGGACCTGTCACGTTCATATTGTGCTGGATGGGCTGTCAGGCTACCAATCAGAGGAAGCGCTGTCTGCTTGGAATGGTAATCCAATCAGAAATGCTAATTGCTGTCCAAATTTTGTAGATATGTAAATACGTGCTTCTAATTTTTCTTGTAGTTTGCAGCTCTTTTAGTGGCGTGTATATGTGTTCAATTTATAATCTGTGGTTGGTCCTTGGCAATGCGGGAAAATCTGCCGACGTCTGTAGAGATTTTCATAGACGATTCATTTGTAGAGTTTTTAGACAAGTTCTCAAGGACTAAAGTCGACAACTTGCATTTGTGGAATCGCATGCAATCTCAGGTAAGCCCTGGCTTTGGAACCCCAGTAAGATTTATCTGGCATTTAGCCCCGTGCTGCGGTAACATGTATGCAGGGCATCCCTAGTCGGGCGCTCCCGTCTCCCGTCCTTGTTTTACAAGCATACTTTTATCATATCAGATCATACTAAAATCAACATGCCTTATGGTTCTAGTTGCAATGCTGCGGCGTCGATGGGCCGCTCGACTATCGACGACTCTCCTTGCCCTGGTCCTGTTGCTCCCGGCCTGAACACGCCTACGAATCGGCTTGTGATACTCACTACAAGCGCGGCTGTTTGGCCGTGGTGTCGGAACAAATCAAGAGTCGCCTGTTGATAACTGCATTCGGAGCTGCAATCATTGCCATACTTCAGGTAATCACAATTCGCGAATATATTTATTAGCGCATTACATTTTATATTTGTACTTATAGAGCTTGGGTATCTTCTGCGCGGTCCATCTAACCATACTGTTCGGGAAGAACGACAATACCCATCCAATGAATATGAATCGAAAAAAGAAACAGCAGCAGTTCTTACCTCTGACTATCCAGGACAAGAGGCATGATTTACCATCTCCGATCAATCTGTCGCCTTCAGCACCAGGACAGCGCGTTTTAAAAACTGCTCTGCCTCCGGCCATGCATAAATGACAGACGATTAGTTTTTAATATCTAAAATTTATGAAAACTCAAAAAGTTATAAAAATGTTGTAACCTGAGATGGAATGAATATAACTGTGACCCTCAATGTTACGTTATGGTAATTTAAAAAATTTACCGTTCGAAAAAGAGCAAACATTTAAGCTTTGTTTATTTCGCCAGTACTTTAATTACATCTAAAAAACTGGGCTGTAATGGCTGCAATTAGTAACCCCGAGAAACGTTTGGCGGTACGTAGAATGCATCCACTGCCTTGGGCTTCTTTTTCTTGCCGAACCAGCGCTTGGGATAATAGACCTTTTTCTTGTAGATTTGTATGTCAATATCCTCTTTGTTCTCAAAAAACCAAAGGCTTTGCCGCATCGATTTTAAAGTTTCCAACGTATTTTGAATGTTCTCAACACGAGTAATTGTATCCTGGACTTTCGTCTGTTCCTCCACAGCGCGTTGGAACCTTGCGTCCCACTCTTGGTAACTTTTCGCGTATTCCGACATGAGCTGTGGCTCAAAGCTGGCGGCACATTGTTTAACGCGGTCATCTAAAAGCTCATCAAATGCATCAGACTTTGTACATTTTTTAAGAGCTTCGTCCAGCAGATTCTTAAAGTCAGGACTACTTGGCGCCTCCAAGGCGTCAACTATTTTACGGCACACCTCCAATACGTCCTTATATAAAATCTCACTGTCCTGTTTAACAGACTCTTCTGCTTCAGCATAGCGCTCACTCAGCACAAAGCCAAGCAAGGATACATTTTGTCCAAGTGTCCTTTCTAGACTCGCACTGGAACCCAATTTAATCAGGGCTTCGCCGAGTTGTTTTTCTTCTGATTTCGCATTTGTATTCTCACCGAAGTTGCGCAGAAATTTAACACGAACTTTTTCCTTAAGTGAACAAATTATACATTTTTTAAAATATTGATTATATACGTATTTTAAAACATACCACTTCCGGCGCCTCAACCTTTGCTTGTGGACTTGGTTGGTAGCCTTTTAAAAAGGTGTAAAAAGATTTCAGGGAAAGCACAGCGACCAGCTCGTTGTTGCATAAGTCTCGTTCCACAAGTAGAGCGGCAATTTGTGCCGCTTCCCTAGTGTTTCCAGCGTGTAGCAATTGGTCCATTAAATGGCATCCTGTGAACTGGTCAATGAATATGCCATACTGCAAGGGGCTCCGCAGAACGTTGACTGCATCTTGTGGGCCGGAAAAGTCGACTAGTTGTTTTGCCAATATATTCGGCAGAAGCGGCACAGCGCTGCAATCCTTCTGTTTTCTAAACATAAACAAAGTTGACTGGCACGTTCATTTATTCTTTAGTTAACCTTAAGTTTACCTGAGTTTTATTAGTTTGTCCAATAAATCCATTTGCTTATGGTCCTGGTTGACAAAGACATCTAAATCCAAATTGTTGATTCTTTGGCTGGGAACATTTTGTGGACCTTGATTTGCTAAATTGTTGAATGCACTCGAGAAGTATGACAAGCATCTCCGATGGGCATGAATGCAGATTACACTCGATTTAAGCATACTCGCTTTATTATTTAGAAAAGTCTTGAGCATTTCATTAGCTAACCACGTGAGAAGGTCGCCTTGACTAGAGCTATGTAATTGAATGAAAAATATATAAATATTATACACTGTTAGTTGAATGCATATACATATAAGTTTACTAGAATAAACTAAATATTTATGTATAAACCACCTTTAACAACGTACCTGGTTTCTCTATTTACTTATGTATATTAATGTTGAAATAACAAAACATCTGATATCACGGCAGGGATACTTGGCGATATATGTTGCTTTTCGATTTTCGATACTATCAAATCATGAGGTGAAAGCCATCGAATAACTGGGAAATTTATCGGGAAATTCTTCGTTTAGTCCTTCAATATAAAAAAACGTCCAAATAAGTCGGGTGTAGTGTCTAGTTCATATAATTTTTTACCAGGTTCCATTTCCACCGGCGGAACTTAAATTTATGGTGTACTTTATATAATATAAGCAATTAAAAGTTGCCGATAGCCCAGTGGCAGCACGATTGACAAGTGTCTTGCAACAACGATACTGCTTGACGATGAATTTCCGATAGTTTTGAACTATCGTCAAGACGGGCGAATGAGCTAATAACTATCGATGACTAGTCACTATAAAGCTTGAATTTTCAATTTGGCGGTGTATTTTGTATTTAAAATGCACACATACATATATACCATACACATACATACATACGCGCTACCTAAACAAGACCCCAACTATAACCTAAGCTAAATAACTAAAATAAACTGAATAAACAAAAAAAACACATACAAACATACATACACACACACATACACATACACACATACACATACACACACATACACATACACACACACACACACACACACACACACACACACACACATACCTACATACATACCTACATACATACCTACATACATACCTACATACATACCTACATACATACCTACATACATACCTACATACATACCTACATACATACCTACACCTCCTGCTCCGCCCCCTTGGGCATCCTCCTGCTCCGCCGGGTCCTCGGCTTCCACCGTTGAAGCCGCCTGCGCCAAATTCATAGGCGAAACCTGCAGGCCCTACTTAAATTTTTGAGAATCGAGGAGGAGGGCAGCTTTAATAAATACGTTTTCTATTTAAATTTGCTGCGCAACAAGATGAATTTGCCTGATATTAGAATAGAAGAAAACTTACATGTACACATACAAACATATATACACACATACATACAGACACACACATACACACACACACACACACACTTACACACTTACACACATACATACATACATACATAATTACATACACACATTCATACATTCATTCATGTATTTATTCGTTTATACATGCATTCATATATATACACATACTTACATACATCCATTCATGCATACATACATACATACATATGTACATACATAACTACATATATACATAATCAATTTGGCATATAAATCTGGATTATTCGTGGTCAAAATTCATGTGAAAATAGTACTCTTAAATATCCTGTATAATACATGGATGTAAGAAACAGTTTTTTGAATCTTATAAACTTATAGACTAGGCGATCCCGAACTTAGTTTCTATAGAGAAAATAATTTTAAAACCGTAACAGTAATCGGAACCCAAGGTTTGAACCAGCAACTGGGTACAAGGATGTAAGAAACCTTTTTGGAAATCGAACCTTCAGACTAGTATCTATATAAATATATATACATATGCAAACATAACATAAATATGTTATTGTATGTTAGACACACATACATACGTACATATGCAGGAACATGTTAGCAGCCGTTCTCCATTTGTTACATACATACATACACACTTGTTTGTAGGCGAATGTGCACATGTACATATGTACATACATGTTGGGTGCATGCATCGTAGACTGCACTATTTTTTAACAAACTTATATACACAGTTCTACTTGCATGATAAAGCGGGGTGATTGTAGTATAAAGTAGTTAGCTAAAATCAGCGAAGCAGAAAGCCTTTCCATCCCTCACTCGTGTGGCAGCTGCTGATATACACACATGTTTATATGTCTATAAGTGCCACGAGCTGCACATTTGGATACACATGGTAAACTGAGCACAAGTTCTCCCATATACACATGCATACATACATACATACCTGCACATACAAGACAAGCGTACAAGTGTGCCATAATATAAAACACGATCAAAAGAGGCACAGCCGGAACAGACAGAGCATACATTGGTGGGTTTTGTCTTCTTGACTCTCTGCGATCCGTTGACTGTTCTGCTCGACATATATCCACACTGTAAATGTACATACATACATGCATACATACATACTAATTCGTGTGTTTGTATATGTATAAACATATGAATGTGCCTAAGCGTATGCCACGGTCGACATAGTTCAGTTGTGATATACCAGACAATTGTGCTTGACCATGCCCAGCGAACGGTTCGGCAGCAGTTTTTTAAAATAGCGAAATTTACTGTTCTTTCTGTGTTACGCTCTTCGAAGAGCCCAAAATAAGTTAATATGCAACTGTTCTTAGCTTTTATTATTGCTGCATCGACAATTCTAAAAGGTAACGGCAAAAATCCGTGTGCTGCTGCAAAAAAAAACAAGTGTTTGTACTGATCTTTATAAAATTATTTATAAATTTAGAAATGAAATCATCTCTTCACGTGAATAATGAGTGTATACATATATACCTATATGTATATATATGTATATATATTTGTGTGTGTGTTAAAAATAAACAAAACTGTTTAAAGTAAGAGCATGTTTGTGTATATTTCTTGCGAATATATAGTTTCGTACAAATTTACAAGCAAATAAAAGTGTATTCAAATGAGGTCAACTACTAAAAAACATTGGAAAATTTATAGTTTCATTTAAATCATAATTCTGAAGAAAAAAAAACAAACGAGAAATGGCGCTGTTAAAATTCAAATAAAAGAAAATTGTTCAAAGAAAATTGTGGTAAAAAAAAAATCAATAAAATTAATGTAGAGAAATAAAAATTGTAAGCATAATATGTTAATTGGCAAAAAAAATGCGCAAAAATTAAGATATCTGGGATTTGTATAGGATCTTCATTGTAGACCGTAATCCTTACGCGGCAAAACTAAATTATTTTCATTCTCATTAGGAAATGTATTTCATTAATATATTAGTTTGTTTTTCATATAATCAGGGACTTTCTCTGCTCTGCTCTAGCGTAAATGCCTAGGAGAAAGCCTCTTGAGTTGCCGTTCCTAAGATTCGAACTTTCAAAAATAATATGGAATACTGCAGTCACTGTGCATTTAGACGCTCACTTTGAGAACCGAATTCTTAACTAATTTATATACCAAAGCGCAAAACCTTATTTTGAACATGTATAAGAGCTCTAGTCGCGAGTGCCTGAAAAGGCACCCTGATCCCAGCGATCTTATTCAAAGCGTTTGCCGCTTACCATCGATTCAATCGAAAGAATCGCTTAAAAAGGTTTATAAGAGAACAAATAACACTATTGGGGTGCTTATTTCGTTCCAGTGTTGTAAGCTTGTAAAATCTTGCAATCACAGTAACACTGAAGAGTGTCTTGCAACAGTGTGACCCTGACATGATAAATCTCCATCAATTGGTATTTTGTTGATTTGGTATATTTTAGCGCTAAAGTTACGGCAATAAGTGTTAAATGGCCTGTTCGAGGTTCATCCTCAGTTGTTAAAAAATCTCTCAAAACCCAGCAATTGCGAACTATACAATTTTTCGCAGAATTGTATCTGCTTAACCGTAAGATATAGGTCTTCAAGGTCTTCACGACAGCCTACTTTCAAGTTGTATAAGGGTAACCCTATATACATTTTGTTAACAGACGCTTAACAATGTAACGCATTCAAAGCCCTCAAAGTACACATATATATTCTTGATCAGCCGAGCGTATATACCCATGCGCGTCTTTGCATCTGTCTGTTTCTATACAGTTAAGTCTTAAGCAGAAAATATGTCGGAACAGGCCGGATCGGACCATTATATGATATAATTGCCCTTAGAATAACTCTTTATGATTTCGAAGAACTCGAACCTTAATATTTAAGTTTCCTAAGAGTATGCTTTCCATATTGTGAGTTTTAGGAAAACACAAGAAACTAATGTTAAGTAAAAATTTGATTTAAAAACGGATTATTTTTAGAATTTTCTGAAGAGTAACTTGTAAGCAGCGAACTTAGCGCGCTGTTAAGCAAAGGAATCAGTTTTAATATTCAAGCCTGTTGTCGATCAAAAATTCATGACAAGTCTTTCATCTCTGATATCACGCTTGCTGAATACGCGCGGCAGGTTAAGTAGACTTGAAAAGAAATGTGCCCTAGAGCGAATCATTCCAACTTTCTTCCGTACGTCTTAAGTCGCATAAAGTTATCACAATTTTGTAAATGATCTCTCATTCAATATTATGCTCTTCTTTTCGCAAAGATGTACAATGTCTGCCAGTCAAAATCGATGCGGAAACAAAGTTTATTGTTCTTCAGAACGACGGCATGGAACCAACCGTATTAGAATGTGATTATAATCTCAATGACACCGATTCATTTCTGACTGTGAAATGGTTTAGAAACGACAAGACTATTTACCAGTGGATCCGAGGATCGCATCCGGCGCCAATTGTATGTATTATTATGTTAGCCTGTTAGACTATTTTGATTATATATAAAGTACTTGCGTTAGCCGGAATTCAAAAGTGATGTGGATAGTTCATATGAGAGCTCAACGGATCCAAATAAACAATACAGTGCACTGGCCCTCATAAATCCTTCCATAGATTCCACCGGAGACTATAAATGTGTTGTACAAACGAGAACAGAAACGATAACGGTTCATAAAAGCGTACAGGTGATCGACGTGAGGAATTATACGCTGAACATGTATCGCTATCAAATTCAAAATGAGACTCAACTGGAGTGCACGGTCTCCAACGTGTTTCCGAAGCCAACAATAACTATTACGTATGTAGCTGCCCGTCAAATTGCTGGGAAAATATTTTTAAAATGATCAAATTACATTTCATTGCTTTAGATCGGAAGATGATGATATTGTCAAGGTGGTGGCCAATGAGCCGCAGGAAAACGAGGATGGATACTTTAATGCAACTACTTTTGCCGCGATCCAGGATGATGACGAAGACACGGACTCCCACAAATGTGTTGTGACTTTCGAGGGCTATTCACAGAATTTGACAACCATACTAACGTCTGGTTCGTGTAAAAGTTGTACAGATTATCGGATATTATTCCTGAGTTGCTTAGTGTATTATTTATTCTCTAACATTAATATTTTAGATTAAATAAAATTTGTTGTTATATTGTTAAAACTACTGTTACACAGAGTTGTTCTTATTATTGTTATATTAAAATTAAAACGAGCAACACCAATACATTGGAATATTCCTTTTTAAATGACCCCCCCCCCCCCCCCCCCCCCCCCCAATTCCCATCTTGCTGGCGTCTTGATGCGAGTGTTTAAAAGCCTAGCAAAAGTTTATTCAAAAGGTCAAATAAGATGAGACGCGTATCCGCTTTCTTGAATAGAAGGCATCCTAACCAGAATAGTCAGACCTACTACATCTCTAGCGTAGATTTAATGTTCGTATATTGGCAAGTCGAACTAGACGATGGACGAAGACAAGAGCAAGATAGTAATCACCCAGATGCGGTCCAATGTTTTTGTTTTTCTGGACGACCTGCCTGGTTATTGCCCTAGGTTTCCAAACTCATCTAAGGTACTTGTAAGTGAGCGAACCATAGCCTTCTTTTCAGCCAAGTTGAATAAGCATCAACGGTAATTTTTCGTTCCTGAAAAGAACTGCTTGTGGGTGTCAAGCTTTCTGATAGCTGGCTGATAGACGCACCCACAACGAACAACAAGAGGTTGTCTCGAACCGAAGATAAGCCATTAACTTCTTTATTGATTGATGGCTGCACGAGATCTTTCAGGGTCATCTACATCTCTTAAATACAGCAGCTCAAGGAAGGCAGGGGGGACAAGCCGCCTACCATAGTTTGAATGGCATCGAAGACATCCACGACGTGTGCCCCTACGACGTAGTAGTCAGAATCCTTTACCACTCCATACTCAAGTGCGAGATCATTGATGACCTGCGGTGAGATTAGAAGCGGAGTCTCCAAAGCTTGGGTAGTCCCATCGAGCTCATCTTGGGAAGTCAAATCGAATGGCATGAACCCTTTCTGCCAGGCGAAGTTGTCGGCCTACTCTTCGCCTGTAAGGCTGTATTTACCATCATTGTGAAGAAGAAAAACGGTTCTAATGGTTAAGTTTTTATGTAGCTCGCCAGAGTAAGTTTTCTGCGTCGTAGGTGTAGTCCATGTTCTCCAGCCTGTTGGAGAAGATTACAACCTACTTTTCGCCACTTCGCCTGTCTCAGAGATGCTCGGTCATCTGAAACCTACGCCTGCACTGCCTCTTGACCCTAAGCAGATTAGCTAATTCTGTTGACAGATCGTTGCCAGCATTATCCAGCTGCCTGACAACTGGTGGAGGAGTGACTCCGGCTGCCTCAGGAAAACACGGAGCTCAGTGCGGGTGTCGATCGGTATTCCGCAGACCACTCTGGCTGCATTCTCCAGGACAACTATCAGGACCAGGTGGTCGCTTGGGAGGTCGCATTGTCAGCAATAGGGAGGAGTTTGTGTTGGTGCATCCCGTTGCCTAGAGCTGGCGGCGTTGATTCATTGGTAGATGAAGCTGGTAGTGCTGGGAAAGGCTTTTTAATTGTCAATGGGTGTGGGCTCAGGGGTATTGTTGCGGGTTCGATACATTAGCGTGCTCATCCGCTGCACCAGTAAGGCAATGCACATAGAGATAGTCAAGGATCTATCGACTGCAGGGAAGCTAACCAAGCAGCATTTTTACCGCTCTTCATATCCATTGTTAGCTCACGCCCACTACTCTCGCTTTTAGAGATCCCAGAAAATCTAGATGTCCTGACTCCTGCTTATCCACTGTTTGGTGGTCCTGCAAAAACCATCATCGAGCCTGATCTAACAAAACTGTACTACAACCGCTTGGTTGGACGGCAGCGTATGGTAAATCCTCAACGGGTGTCTGGCGTGAGGAGTACCTCATTTTAATACAAAAGCGGCCTAAATGGCCTACTCTAACACAAGGGTTTTGCGCCAACGCATGGTGCTCGCCAAGGATGAAAGTCTGCCTCCCATGCGTTGGCCGCCGGGTAGGGTACTGAATCTGATTAATAGTAAGAATGGGGTATCTCGCGTATCCAATCATCATCTGGAATCATTAGAAGAGCAGTAAACACGGTGTCCGGTGACCTTTAAGGTGTCTGTTGAAAGATCGGCAGGAGGTCTTCTTCTTTTATCTCACTCACTCTTCATTCGTTGTTGATCTTAGCGAAGCAAAGAAATTGTTCTGAGCCACAGTTAAATAACTTTACTGATGCCTCCATGTTTCCTGGCAATAGTTATCACAGGGAACACAAATTGAGTATATTCATGATCTTTAAGTGCCACGCCCCGACCTCGCAAATTTTAAGATAAATTTCTTGCTTTATATTTTATTATAAAAACATTTTCTTTGGCACGAATTTTGAGATTCCGGAATTAATACATCGTAACATTGAGTCCCAGACAGTGCGTCTTGCCGCCTTTCCATTTTGGTACAATTATCTTTCATAACATAAACTGCATGCCTTTCTTGTTTCCGAAATTTCGCCCTACGATTCTGGAACCAAACCTAAAAAGACATTGCAAATAAATCAGTAGTGCAAATGAAAATCTAAAAAGAACGGACATCTTCGACACGCCGAAGACTTTTTACCCCTGTTGACATAGGCATGGCAGGGTTTTATTACAAAAGCTTTGTTTTCGAACGATTATTCAAGCTTATCAATTAGTTAATTAGCTGCGGCTTTGCCCATGAACGGGCCAAACCCTTTAATAAGTTCACACAACAGCTCACTCGAAATCTCTTCTCGACATACTCTTTTCTGTGCTCTCATTGATATCATCAGAATACATACTAACTTATGCTTCTAGATCTCGGAGTTCTTCAAAAAGCTAAGCAGGCTTGGAAATGATCGTTCGGCGCTCGAGGCTAGGCTTTTGGCTGATACTCTCAGCAGTCTTACTCTCTCTGGGCATAACAAAATGATCGCAAGCACTCATGGAGCTCTCTCTCGCGTTAAGAATTCTTGATTCGATCATTTTTCAATTTGAGCCCTCTATATATTGCTCGCCCACAATCAGAAAAAAATATTAAATAGAATAAAGTTGGTCCCGGGTATTTGTGTTTGGAAATCACCAATAAACCAAAAAAGTAAAGTTACAGAAAATCTATTTCTTATATAGGTTTATCAGTCAAATGTATTTAAATAGATTTTGACTTTTGTTAAATTTACCTGTACTCTCGCCTCCGTCAAATGCAATTTTGATGCAATTTCTTCCCTTGTATATATATCTGGATAGTGTGTTTCCAAAAATATTTTTTCTAGTTCATTTAGTTGACTTGATGTAAAGGTTGTACGTATTCGTCTTTGTTTGGATTTATCGCTTATACTCGAGCAGTCGTCAGTATATTTAAGTGGATATCCTAAATTAAAATAAGAAATGTTTGCAATTTACATGTATTAATTATTGTTGCTTCAAAGAAGAGCGCTACCTCCAAATTTCAAAGTTAGTTAACAATCCGGCAGCAAATCAGTGCCAAATAGTTGGCTCTAAATATTAAATTGACATCCGAATGTGTTAAATATCGAAACTTCACCACATAGTTATAAGCCAAGTAAATAAGAATATACAAATATTCTATGGTACAAAAAGATCTAAAGATAAATTTCATCAAGATCGGTTAAGAAACTCAGAAAAAACGTGATTTGGCTGGCCTCGTGTTTGCGGCAGCTAGCGCAAATTCAAGAATTTCTGTCTGCATGTACACACACACATTCATACGTATATTATTTAATTCTATCTACAGCTTTGCAATTGCGATTGTTTTGTGTTCTGTGCTTCTCAATTGCAAGTATGGATGTGAGGTAGAGGCGACGGCAAGTAGTGTGGTCTGATACGAATTCGAGTGCTATCGAGGGAACTATTTTTTTTTAAATTTATTATACCTCTGCAGAGGGTAAGTTGTTCTATGGAAAATTTGTTTGTTTTTCAAGATATCTTGACCAAAATCATTATTTATATGTTTCATTACATGCTCATTACATTTATGCAAAATCTTATTTACAGCGGACTACTATATAATATAGCTGCCATAGGAACGATCGGTCGAAAAATAAGTTGTATGAAAAACTTTTTGTTTTTTATGTGCTTCTTATTTACGGGCAAGGCACTCTGAGCATTAGGAAAATGTTGGGTTGGGTTTAAAAAATAAAAGCTCCAGAAGTGTGGCGCGGGCGGAAGAAGCAGCGCTGCTACTCACGAGTTTGTGTGTTGTGTATTTATTTTTGTAAAGGTTGTTAACTTTATGAATTCATATTGAGCTATAATTTAAGATTTTTGAAATTTAAAGCTTGCTTGCTTATTCATTTATTTGCGAGTCTCTACTCGGGAGCTCAACAATGTGAATCCCTGTCTGCTTTTTATAATAAAATGATTTGTTAATTTGGAAGACAGCACTATGCGCTCGCACTCTAAATGCTAATAAAGATTGGCGTTGTTGTATTTGCGATAATGCAGAGCAATGTTCAGCGTATCGCCTATTTTTATTTCAGCTTTCTTCTGAAGATTTGCCAGAAACAGAAAGTGCTAGCCACTTATCATCCCTGCAGATTGTAATTGACAATCTAAGTGAAGCAGGAGGTACAGAAAAATTAGATTTATGTGCATCCCCCAGTCGTAAAGGACGCCTCGAGTGAGGCTATAACAACATAGCCACGAGTCAGCGAAATCGTTGTCGCCGACGTTTCTAAGCACTTACAGTGCGTATTCGCGGCCACAACCATGTCAGGCTGAGGGAGAGGATTGCCAAAGTAGACAATAATTGTATTTAACCAATATCATTTGTCCACAAATTCACTCAACTTGATGAATATAGTAGGAATATAGTATAGGAATCTTAAAAATGTAACTTATATATTTGTGAAAGTTAAGACTTACCGGAATTATAGGACGTAATGTTATGTGTTCCGGGATAAAGATCGGCAACATTCGTTATTTTTGAAAAAAGTATATTGGACTCTTGATTTAATGAATTTCTTATTGCGGCCTCATTAGCCCGTAACTTATAGCTGGAATCAATTATTAAATTATAGTGGGCCATGTGATTTGGCACAGAAATTCTGGGATTTGCGTTCGTATTGTGCAATTGCGAATTTGAATTATATATACAATCTTTATCATAGCTTGTTTTGCTTAAAAATGAAAATTCCATTGCATCTAATCACTATTTGGCACAATAAAAAGAGCTCGACACTTATTAGATAATAATTTCGCTGTAACAATCACATAATAATAAAATAACTTAATTTGAAACCACTTCACAAAATACGAGTTTTAACTCTGGTTAAATAAAAAATTACTGTTACGATTGTCTTAACTTCATCCTTTAGATAAAAAAGGACACTAAGGATGCATAAAACGAAAGAGAGAAAAAATGTCGTGCTACGTGTTTGGAGGCGGTGCCAAATACCACACATTGTTTTGGGGGTGGAAATGTTTCAAATTACACCACACACGTCACAAAAACAATGACCATAAAGAAACTACTTTATTACGAAAGTCAGCTGGAATATCTAAGGAATGTAATTATAGATAATCGCCTTCGATTTTAGAAAAAACTTTACTTAACAAAAAACTATTAATTACTTCAGTCCTGTAAATATTCTCAAAGGATTCCATTAAAAACTTTATAATTTTCAATTATGTCATAACTAATGCGTCGATCCGGGAGAATATAAGGGATGCAAATTGTGATTAAAGATAATATATATCTACGGAATCTACGGAACATCGAGAAAATAGGTCTGAATCTGAAAACGAGAACGTACATAACAATTAGAAAGTATCTAGATATTATTATCCTAAAACCTAAATATATACTACATATATATTTTAATATTTTTCAAAAAAATACCTTTAAGGTATAAAGGCCAAAACAAAGCGAATATAAAAGATGCAGAACACCGGCTATGTAAAGTGGACAGCTCTTCTCTACACTGGGTAAAGGGCATCTCTTAGTCGGGCAGGGTATCTCTTGCTTTTCTCATACCCTGCACCCATTGAAAATGGAAAAGAAGGGTATAACTGTTTTCTGACAATTAATGTAACCGCTTGAAGGAGGCATCCCCAACATACTCCTCTGTCTATCCTAATAACAATTCCCACCCTTTTAAAATGATTTCCTCTAGTTCTACACTAGCTTGTATTATTTCCCATTCCTCTCTCCTTTCAGCTATAAATTCTTTGAAATCTTCTTACTCTTGACTCAAGTAGTGTAGTGCTTTCTTTCTTCGTCCATTGCTAAAGCTTTTAAATTATCCATCGAAATGGTTTATCTCTTTGGAAAGAGTCTTATATCGTTTCCCTCTCTTCAATCGTACCACACCTTATCTTGTTAGCTATACAATCGACAATATTCCATTGCATTGTATACTAACAGTTAGGGATTTTTGATTCTAAGCTGTGCTTCAATCTTTATATAGCTAACATCCTTAACGAGACCAAAGGTGTACTTGGATTTATTAAACTCCTATATATCTTTCTCGTTCGACCTTTCCTTGAATACTGCTCTTGTATTGAGGTCAGTTTAGAAGCGAATACTGCTTTTTGCCTTACGAATTTTAAATTGGGATCCCAATCTACGGTTGCCATCATACTCCAGCAGGCGTCTTCTTCTTGATCTTCCGTCGTTAACCAACATTAGTACAAGCCTCGGTGTTGTCTTTCTACATAAATTAATTTATGGGAACATAGATTCTTCTTTTCCGTTAGGGCTTCTTCAATTCTCTGCTCCGTCCAAACCTACCAGGAACTATCGCCCCTTATTCCTAATAACGTGCACAAGAGATTATGCTATGCACAACTCTTTTGTTGTATTATGCAAACAATACAATAGTTTGTACCACGTGTTCTCCACCAAACTTTCTCTCCTACTAATAAAATTGTTGCTTTCAGGATACCTTTGGAAACTCACTGATCATTCCCAGCTTTAAGTAGGGGCAAAGCTTGCGGACAGGCCATAAATTTCCCCCGGTCGGTAAATTCCTTCACTATCTCTTTGCTTAATACTCTATATACAATAAGAAGAAAAAATAGGCATTTTAGAATATATAATAGATTTTATAGAAAAAGTGTTTGGCAAATAGGAAGAGGAATCTTGTGTTAATTAAACTCTTCCCCAGAAGTCCAACTGAAACTGTTTATACACTCATTTTAACATGTTAATGTTTCATTCCACTGTTCCAATACTTTTTACGATGCTAAGTTTACTTATCGATAAATGTGTTTTGGAATATTTTATCGAGTGTGTGGTGTTTTTAACTTCATTTCGTGCGGCGTTAGATTAATAAACAATAAGTTCGCTTTAACATGGAAAAGCAACGAGTTATTAAACGTCGGGATAAGAAGGATAAGTCAAACCAATCCATCAAAGTACGCAATAATTTAATATTTATGTACAATAACTAAAATGTTTAACACTAATTTAGATTGTGGTCCGTCATTTGCCACCGACAATGACCGAAAAGGAGTTTTTGGAGCAAGTGGATCCATTGCCGGAAAACGATTCCTACTACTATTGCCCTGCCGACTGGTCCCTCGGACAAGAAGCCACATGCCGTGCATACATTGATATGTCGCTTAAAGATATTGCCGAAGTTCTGCAGTTTCGCGACCGGTTTGATGGATATGTTTTTGTCGATTCAAAGGGCGCAGAATACGTTGCCATTGTGGAGTATGCCCCGTTTCAATGCTTTTTGAAGAACAAAGCGCGGAGTCACGACAACAAAGTGAACACTATTGAAAAGGAACCGCACTTTCAAGAATTCCTTCAAAAGTTAGCCGAGGAACGTGAGGAGGCAAGTCGTTTGGGGGATATAAAGATTGATTTCACGTTTGAAAATCGAGGTGATGAGAAGGTAAAGTCTACTCCGCTGCTTCAATACTTGGCAAACAAAAAAGAAAAGCGTCGCGAAGAAGCGCGAAAGCGAAACGAAGAAAAACGAAAGCACCGTGAAGAGCAAAAATTACTAAGGTCGACAGAACAACCGGAAAATATAAAAGTGAAGGATACTGGAAATGAAAATAAAAAGTCTGTTAATAGTAATGCCAAAAAAGGATTTAACAACAAAGAAGGTCAATTGCCGGAAGATACAGCGAAAAACGCACGTTCCAAGCGTCGGACTGAACGCGACCAACGTCGGCGCGAAGAACACGAACAGCGAAAGTTGGTGCGCGATCGCGAAAACCGCGATAAGAAAAAAAATGACCGCCATGACAAAGATATGAACCAAAAACCCTCAAAGCATTCAAATTCAAAGAAAGATATTGTCATTTTAAAGAAGAAATCTACAGCTGATACCAATTCAGTTGACCCAAACACATGTGCAGCCTCATCAGTAGATGTGTCCAGCGAAATGCTGGCAAAAACTGATAAAAGCAATGAGCCCGCAGATAAATGTTTAAATTTGAAAGAAATTGGTAAATCGGTTCCAACCCCCTCAGAACTCAACAGCCCGTTAACTAGTGAAGAAATTGGTATGCCACAGGATACATGTAAAGCTTCTAATTCACGTGCAGCAGAGGAACGTCGAATAAGAAATAAGGTTTGTTTTCACAAAGATAACATAATTATCATAAAGTAAATATTGTTGATCTTCTCTAACAGGATCGCCCATCAATTGCCATATACCAGCCCAAGGTTAGAATCAATTTACGATCAGAAGATAATTCTCCAAGTGGTTGTAAAGACCCTGCTCGTGCAACAGAACCTCCATTATTAGCTTCCGAAGGCGATAGTTTTGTGACGGACGAGACGCCCAAGAACAAAAGATTTGGTAGACGCAACAAACACAAACTGCAGGACAATAAAGACAATTTTGAGCATGCACGGCGTGAATCAAAATCATCTGAAAGCAGCACAAGTGCCCATTCTACATTTAAATAACTTAATTAAATGCCTTAAATATTATTTCTAGTTATGCGCTTACTGTTTTATTAATAAAAATCACTCTCAATATCCATAAGACTGCTGGATTTCAGATTGTTTTTCACTTGATCCTGTGATTTGTACATGTGGGCCACTTGATTTGCGTCGGTTGCATTTTCAGGACTCTTATCATCGCGAATACGTATGAAACGAGGAAAACGCAGGGAAATGCCACGTTCAGCATCAACAATTCCTATTGACGCTCTATGGATCGGACTCAGCGATAGATCTGCACATTTAACCTCCCAAACTTGAACGGGTTCAAACCAAACGTCCGGCTCCAAGCTGGGGTCATATCTGAAATATGATTTGGCACTGCCAATCACATGCTTATTGAAAAATTCCGAATGCAGTCGTAAATCATCATCGGTGAAACCTTTAAGTATTAATGCAAATTCAATAAAAGTAAGCAATGAATGTGTAAATTAAATACCTGTTCCAATCTTGCAAATGCTTTGGTATTCTTCATTTTCTGTGTCATAACAAGCTAGCAAAAAGCCACCGTAGGTGCCGGTACGTCGCCCTTTGCCCTTGTAGCCACCGATAACGACAAGATCCAGCGAGTCTCCAACATTTGACAAATAGTCTTTTTTCAATTTGAGCCAGTTTCTTGATCTTTTTGCAATTTCATAAGTTGCTTCTTCCTCCAAAGTTTTTACCATAAGACCCTCACAATTACCTAAAAAGTACGAAAATAATTATGAATTCTAAATAAATAAAGACTTTAACTTTGTACAAGCCGAAAGAGACAACTCCAATATCGTATATAGTTCGTGTTCTGGACGACGAACTGATCTCTATAAAAGCGTCTATCTCAATACGATTAACGGCTAGCAAATTTATACCATATATACTCAGAACAGAACCTGATTTAGGCACGCCCACTGGAGATCACAAAAGTCAAGAATATGTATATAACCCAGATTTAAAAGACCACCTACATATAAGAGAATTTTTTATAATGATGAGCCACGTTCACTCCAAACCCTCAAGAATCGATATATCACTTGTGGTTATCTCTTTTCGATTGCTTAAAGATACTACATCGTGTATGTTAAAGAATCGTATATATAGAAACAATATAAATAAATTGGCGAAATCTTAATGTTTACTTGCCTTTGATGGATTCTTCCAAGAACTGTTGCACTTCATCCATATCATTTGTATCAAGGGCTGTGGCGAACTTCCATTCACCTTCTACTTCTTGAAAATGTTCAAATAACATCTTTCGACGTAAGGAAAGCGGCTTTGTGACAAGGGAAACTCCGTTAATAAACAGAAGATCAAAAATGTAAACGCACACTTGAACCTTAATATCATCGATATCAACATTTTTCCTCTTACGTGTGCTAAGTATTTGAAATGGAAGGATTTGCTTGCGTTCTATATCCCAAGCGACAATTTCACTATCAATTATATACGACTGAACATCCGTTTTCAGAAAAGACTTGCTTCTTGCAATAAGATCCGGATATTTCGGCGTATTGTTCTCAGAATTGCGCGAGAAAATTGAAATTTCGCCAAGTTCATTTAAATGAATTTGCGCCCGTTCACCATCATACTTCCATTCACAAGTAATATGCATTCCACTAAAGCGTTCCAGAACCTCAAGAACGCCTTTAGTTGGTTGCGCCAACATGGGTCTAAGCGGCATTCCAGGATGCATCGGGCAACGCTCTTGAAGCTCCTTAATATCATATTTCAGTATTGCTGGTATAATGATGTCATAGTTGGGACATTGGCTGGAAAAATATAAGGCGAATAGTAAAGCAATCTTTGTATACAACTTTTATAGCAAAATAATCAATAAATAAATAACATATATATATATATCTATATATAAAACTGACTGAGAGCTGGGATACAACTTGCAACTTTATTTATACAGGCATAAATTGCAAGATCAAATGAATGCTGACATTTTAGCTCTATAACTGCAAGTTGTCTTTTTACTTATTCATGTTGCATTTATTAAAGTCAAGAATTATTATCTTAAAGTCCGGCATATGTTAGCCAAGCCCCGCCCGCCTCTGTTCTTTCATATCTTTAAATGCATTAAACAAAAGTTAAATAAAAATTCGTAATGCTTACCAAAAAGTTGTTTTGAGCATTAATGTAGTCTCCGCTATTTCATCCTTGTAAACATCACACACTTTGTTCGTTTTGCAATCGTTTATATGATTTTTTTTAACCAGAGCAATTGCAAGAGCCGTAAGTAGACTCTGTTCGGCAATGCCAATTCGCAGTTTGCCAATCAAAGAGCGAATAAAGAAACGTGCCTCAGACAATCGGCAGGCAACAAAGACATCATAGACCAGTGTCATTTTGGCTTGGCCTGAAATTTTTGCAATCTCTTTGAGCTTGGTGAAAACTCCGCGCACATTTAAGGGCTTCGGGCGAAACATCATGCGCTGCGATACACGCGACTGTTCCGCAACAATGCCCAGATCGCCAGTTAAATGTGTTTGCGACTTAATGTGTGCTAGGTTTCGGCCTGTTGCTTTGCAAATTGCCTTCATGAGCGTGGTTTCGGCGACGCCAAGTTCCAGACCCTCGTAGGCGGGCGCCAGCTGATTGATGCTGAGGTAGACGCACGGCACCAGGTCTTCCGGACTAACCAACATAACCGAGCAAAAAAAGTTGCTCAATATGTCAATCATTTTTAATCGTCCCGAAGTCTCCTCAATAACTTGAAACGTTCGAGCCAAGGCCAAGTAAGGTGTCCTTAAAAAGATATAATTGATCATAGTTTTATAAATGCCAGGCCTCACGGAGCTCAAACAAAATGGGGGCAAGTATTGATCTGCTCTTCCCTGGCCGTACTTTGTTGAGTCCCAAATTTAAGTCCATAAATTGAGACATTTTTATTTCCGTAATACTTACACGCGTTCTGCTTTCCAATAGGCGTGTTTTAAGGGATGATAGGATTCCAAAGACGGGTCGTAGATTTCAATGCCTTCACCTTCAGTTACTTCTGGATTCAATTCCATCTTTGTAATCTTACTGGGAGGCATGGCCGCGGGCTTTTCTGCCTCCGTCGCTTCCAACGGCGGTTGTTTGTTTTCATTTCCCGCCTCTCCTACAGCGTCTTCAGACTTAATTTTGTTTTTAGATATGTTCTCTGTAGTTTTGGCCTTTCTGTTATTAATAATAGTTTAATGAATTATATGTTCATGTTCATGCAAGTCGGACTTACTCTGGGTCGCTCGCTTTTTCTGGGCCTGGGAGACTATCTTTCGGTTTAAAAAATGAGCTGCGAAAACGAAACAAGACGATGTGCTTAAAGACAATATCATGTTTATTTTGTGTATTCATATTTACGTTATCGACTTTTGCATCCTAACAATAATTTATCACAACTTTTCTAAATAAACAAATAAAAATATTATAAGCACACTCGCGCCTTTTTTTCGGTAAAATATCGATAACATGTAAAGGAATTTGTCTTCAATCGATTTAATTTTGATATGGGTAGTCCCTTAAAGTCACGAAATAATTGAACAATTATATGGCGATATATATTAAAAAATTCATCGAACATATGCCTAAGCTTATTATCTAATCGTATTGTTGTAAGTAACTGAAATTACGAAACATTTAATAAATTTTTGTTAGTTAAATTATTTCCAATTATAGCACGCTTATGAGTATAGTCTGTTATATCACTGGATATTTCCATATTGACTTTAAATTTAGGCTTTTGTTCTCCGAGGACAATAGATACTTGAAAATATAACTGAAATCAATTGAATAAAAGACCAAAAGTTAATAGAAAACGTTTTTCGCCTGTTTTAATATCGTGGATCTAAGAGGAGTGGATATAGAAACATCATTGTATAAAATTATAATAAACAATTATCTTGGATTTACTGTCATAAGTCAAAACAATGATTTATTGGAGGCCAATTGAGAGTAGGTTGGTTTCATTTCATACAAGAATACAAGGAACATGATTGATTAGTCAATTTCTTTGCATACCCATAACTTAATAGAATAGAATATCAATTTCAAAACGCAGCTAGCAAAAAATACCTTAAAATTATTTCGCAAATCTCCTCAGAAGATTCATCCAAATAGGGAGGTAAAAATTAAACCAATTATTACCGAAAATCCCTTTCGCTGCTCATAAAAGGATACCACATAATTGCCGCATTTTAATTCGTTTTAATTGTATAGTAAACAATAATGATAATTTCCAAATATCAGATTAGATGAATAAGAAAAACAAGAGATTTGGTATATGAAAATAAATAGATTGTAATTCTAAAATGCCCTTTATAGAGAACATTTCAATATTATTTCCTATCGGGTCGTTATTAACAGGGAAATATCAATCGTTTACTTGGAAAAGTATTTATTAGTTACAAATCTTGTTTACTTCAGATAACTATTACTCGAAATAAATCGAATATTGCTCCTCACCAACATTTGTAAGAGGATTGTTACATTTTTGATTACAATAATAGTTTTAAACATTATAGAATGGCGGACGAAAGCATAACTCGAATGAATTTGTCGGCCATCAAGAAAATAGATCCATACGCAAAAGAGATTGTTGACTCGTCATCACATGTTGCATTTTACACTTTTAATTCGGAGCAAAATGAATGGGAAAAAACTGATGTCGAAGGCGCATTTTTTATTTACCATCGAAATGCCGAGCCATTTCACAGCATATTCATTAACAATCGACTAAACACAACATCATTTGTGGAGCCAATCACCGGCAGTCTGGAGCTGCAGTCGCAGCCGCCCTTTCTTCTGTACCGCAACGAACGCTCCCGTATCCGTGGATTTTGGTTTTACAACAGCGAGGAGTGCGATCGTATAAGTAGCCTGGTTAATAGCTTGCTGCTAAACAAGGCAAGTAACGGACAGCAATCTGGATCATTGCTGGCATATTCAAAATCGGGCAGTTCAAGCATATTCAACATGCTTAGCCAGGCTCAAAAGGAATACAATGCACAATTAAATTGTCAGTCCCAGGCTGCGAACACAGTTGCACAGTCCGAAAACGTGACTTCCCGTAATGTATTGAAGTTCTTTGAATCTGCAAAGCAGGCTACAGTGGAGGCGCAATTGAATCGGCCGCAGCCTCTTTCAGTCGACCAGTTGGAGAAACAACAGCGTTCTGTTACGCCCATCGAGGCGCATTGTCAATCTGCTGCAAGGGACGGCGAATTGATGGGTTCTTTAAAATGTCCATTGTCACCATTTCCAACGGCCTCAACATCGTCTATAGCTCGGAATACTGGAAAGCCCATCTCTTTCCTCAGAGATGAATCACCAGCATCGGCTTTGCTTGCGAGCGCAGAGGCCGAGAAGTGTCTCAGAAGGCTGCTGGTCGGGGATAAGCCTGATGCGAAGCCGGCGCTTATGCCGCCAACCATGTTTGATGTGCCGAGTGTCAAACCAGAACCAGAGCAACCATATTTGCCACTTAACTCTACGCAATTCGTACAGGCCTTTACTTACCTTATTCAGAACGACAAGGAGTTTGTCAATAAGTTACATAAAGCCTATATCGACGGCTGTTCAAATTCGTTAATTGACTCGAACACAACATATCAATAAAATAAAATAATTATTTTGGCGAAAAAGTAGAAAAAAACAACCTCTTTCCATTTGAGTTACAATATGCAAATCCGATTTTTCAATAAAAAAATTATGGATATTATTACATACTGAGGTAAAACTAATGTGTCTGCTGATAGTCATTCAGTGTCTCAGGATCTACCAGGATCTCAATATTCAGCATACTTATATGAAAGGTTAACTTTCTATATATAAAACTGTTTGTTCTGATTTCGATCCGATCGGCTTGAAACTAGTTTTCAAAGATCTTCACTCAAATTCATTTGAAGGGCTTTTTGGCAAATCCGAGTTAAGGGTTGAAAAGGCCATGTTTCAGAGGGAGGCGCATTTGCAAAGAACTTAAGAACAATTCGTTGGAGGCATAGTTTACACTTATTGCATGTAGGTGTGGATAGAAAGTGAGGATTTTTTGGGGGAAGCTTTAAGTTTCGTCCCAACAGTCTTGAACGTTCTAAGAAAGGCTATAAGGGCGTAGTTTTTTCATCCCATCAGCTTTAAGCTCTACAGTGATTTAGATGCCAAATTGATCAAGAGGCCAAACCATGATAAAAGAGCCAAACCTCGTGAAAATCGGATGGGAATTGACCGAGTTATTGGGATGAAGAATTTTTACCTATGCCTATATAGGATATTTGAAGGTACAATTTTCACATGAATTTTGGGCAGGAACAATATTTCCCGATTTAGATGAGAAAATGATATAGAGATCATCTCCCTGTGATTTTAAAATAAACAAGAAGATGTTGGCACGGCAAAAGCTCATCCAGCAGCTTGACAGAAGTTATTAAATGTTGCTTTGTGGGAAATTGAGAGTTGGAAGCCAGGCGTTTGAGATGTGTAAAATAAAATTTATCGATTGTAGTGAAGTGACACCGATAACAATCCTCCCGTTTTGCCTGTCGATACTTTCAAAAGTGTTATCAATTATTATGTACATAGCTCAATGTTGATTCAGCATTGTTGAGAAGATATTAAGTAAATTGACAAAATTAACTAAATTGCGGTCTTGTGTTAAAACGTGAATAGCACATTATATAAATATACACGCTTCTGGTCTGTACATAACTAGTAGATTAACTTATTTGTCTTTTATATATGGGGTGTTCGAAGAGTATGTAATTAACATACACCAAATTTGTGCACATTGTAAAATGTATGTATGCAAAAGTATACATAGTTTACAATGGCCCTTTATCGACCCAGAGGCACCTTGGCACGTGTTATCTACGCCAAATTTCATAATGACAACTTTTTGGAGAACTTAGATACCCAACAGGTAAATATCTATAGATAAACACACCTGCATAGTGTTTTAAACATATGTAAACATATGCCATCAACATATGTATGTACTTATTAATATATATATTTATATTGCAGTGGTACTCTTTAAACTGCGAATTACCTCAAAGATTCCAGTCGAAATTTGTTGCCCTTAAGCAGCCCGACACAACCACAATACGATGGCTGGAACGTGCAAAAATGCTGTCTTCAAACATTTGGCTGCATTTGTGGCATGCATTGGCCAGGTCTGTTTTGCAGATATTTATGACGCAGACCGATATCAACGGACTTTTAAAACGTGGTTCCATGTTCATTTTGTCAGAGGAACAATTCTGTAAACTTCTGGAGGCGGGTGGCTTTTTACCCAAATCTTTCACAGAAACGGTAATTTTACTTGGTGACTTGTATAAAATTAAAAATGACTAATTATCTCATTTAGATAACGCTTCTAGATATCGGTGCTGGCGACGGCGAAGTCTCGCTGCGCGTTGCAAACAGCGTGACCGAGCTTAGCAAGAATGCCGTGTTGCAATTGTTTGCCACTGAAGCTAGTTGGACCATGCGAGAGAGACTTAAGAAACTTAACTTTAACATAGTTACCGAAATAAGTGACCTACATAGTGTAGATTTAATTTCTTGCCTTAATGTGCTAGATCGATGCTACGATCCTTTTCAACTATTAGCAGATATACATAACGCGCTGGCTCCTACGGGTCGAGCTGTGATTGCGCTGGTGCTTCCATACATGCACTATGTAGAGACAAATACATCGCATTTACCATTGAGGCCACTGATGGATAATTCCAAAAGGAATGGCCGTGAGTTATCGTTTGAAGAAGAAGCAACAATGTTCTTGGAATTACTAGAAAATTGTGGGTTTCGCGTCGAGTCCTGGACAAAGGCCCCGTATTTATGCGAAGGTGATCTGCGACAATCATTCTATTGGCTGATTGATCTTATTGTTGTAGTTTCAAAAAAATCTACCTATTAAAATATTTGATTTTTATACATTACAATAAATTTTTCATAAATACTTCTAAGTCTAGCAAAGCATATTTCAATATCTATTATGAAAATTATAAATGTACAAATGCCTGTGAACAACTGTTCTGAAACCTTATTGATAATTATTATTAATGAAGGGCTGGCCTGTTGAGTTTTTCGATATTAACGAAGATCCAATGTGCGTTGGAGACTAAATACAACAAATTTAGCAGCTAAAACTAAACGTAGGAATTCCAACTGCAGAGCGATTTGAAATGGTTAAGATTACTTATTAGGGTTTGTAGTTTTTTATTTATGATAATCTGGTTATTGTTTCTAATTAGCTTATTAAGATTGTTTATTATCTTTAGACTTAAGTTTTGAACGTAGCCCTCCTAGTGTACGCTCAGTACGAATTTATTGCAAATAATCGATAACTTGTTCCGTTTCCAATGATTCGATAAGAAGCGATATCGAAATCTGCAAAACTTGTAAGTTATAAGAGCTGGCGTCACAAAACAAAAACACAAATTCTAAACAACATGTTTAGAATAAGTAGAAAGAAAGTATCTTTCTCCGGTTTCTCGCTATAAAGCAAGGAAATAAACCAATTGGTATTGCCCATTAATTTAAGCCACAATTTTCTCTTCAAATACACGAACATTCTATGGCACAATATGATCTACAGTATTTTTTGATGGCAATGATGATGTCGCACGTTGATAATCAACTTAAATTAATCAGCTCCAAGGCTGATGAATTTTATTTCGTTTTTATTCTATCATATTAAGTACTTTTTCGATTCTAAAACGCGGGGGTACTAAGTTTTTCGCATTTGAAGTTCTAATAATTAAAAAAGATTTTATGCAATGCATTTTATAATGCATTTATTTTCGAAGAGAAATAGATTTAAGAAAACTACGTTTTTTTCCCCTTTCTTCAAAAGCTAAAAATTTTATTTTGCAGCTGAAACAAAAATGAAGAAGCGGATTATGTTTGTTGAGTGCGATGATAATTTTGAAAATTTGATTACAACTATCGATAACTCTGGTTTATATTGCACATCACTAGTTTGTATCTGTGGTGTTTTAATTTTTGTTAATATAATATGAGCTTAAACATGTTAGGAAATATAGAAGATAAATCTGTTGTGACAGGTTTTGATGATCTTCCATACTTTCCCGAAAACTTTCCCGGGAAAGTTTGTTGTCTTTGCAATCTTGGCGAGCGAAGTGCGCTTGGCCAAGGGACACTGATGCAACTTAAAGTGCCTTCTAGTTTTAAGGAAAGAAAATCCAATGAAACTGAAAAGGATCAGGAGAGTTTGCGTAAATTCAAGTGCGGGCTGAAAAATAAAAGTGCCGGCAACAGCGAGAGCACCTACGAATTGGACAAAATTGGCTACGCAGACATTGTAAATACGTCGGTGTTCTTCGACGACGAATTTGTTTACGTACATCGCATGTGTGTAATGTGGACATTGCGTAAAATCCATATAAAGGATCCTGATGTCTTTCAGTTTATAAGCCACTTATCTAGCTATTTAGAACAGAAATGCAGTTTTTGCGGACAATACGGAGCGTCGATTACTTGCAAGATGAACTGCCGGCAAGTGCATCATTGGCCGTGTTCTTCTGCAGCCGGTTGCCTGCTTATCTTGGAGAGCTTCACTGTGTTCTGTACGGAACACTTAAGTCAGGTTCCAATCATTTGTAAGTTGATAGGTTAATATAGATTTTCAAAATTATTTAAAGCATTTCATCCTAGGTACTGACAACAATGTGGAATGTCTAACGTGTTCCTCATTGGGCGATCTGTCAAAACTAATAATGTGTTGTTCATGTGGAGATCATTTCCATTCTACTTGCATCGGTCTGGCAAATTTACCTGGTAAATATGCTTATTTATAACTCTACAAAGTTCAATTCTCTCTTAGGCGGATTTTTAAATCAATTTCTGGCGTATGCATACATAGAGACATATAATACTTATAGGCGAATACCATGAAAAAAGTCGGTCTATAATCTATAGACTATAGTTATGCACCAGCCTGTTATACAAAAGAAACTGTTTTGCCATTAATGTTGTTGATTTGCTTATGATGTGCTTATTTTGTTTCTCTTAAAACAGTCATTTGTGTTTTTCATTTGCCACTTACCATACCAAAAACTAGGCGCATTTATAGTTGTACATCATAGTTAACATACAATATGATTTGAATATTTTATATTAATGAACCGATATATATTTGTATTATTATCTGTTAATAATAATAGATTCTACCTAACATATATTTTTTATTAGATACACGATCTGGTTGGAGCTGTGCGCGCTGCACAAAATGCCAGATTTGTAGACAACATGAAACTAATGACATCAAATTCATCAAGTGTGAACAGTGCCAAAAAATGTATCACGCCATGTGCTTAAGACCTACAATATCTTCGATTCCCAAGTATGGCTGGAAATGTAATGTAAGTTGATTATATCTATATATATACATATATATAACTGTTTCTCCTGACTGACTGATTTGTGATCAACGCACTGCCCAAACCGTAAAAGCTAGGAATTTGAAATTTACCATGTTGTTACCTTATGTGATGAAGGTGCACTTTAAGACGGGGGGTTTCAGGGAAATTCTACTCGCATGTGTGCAAAAATCGTTGAAAACGTTTGTATTCAACTTTTTTGGTAAACCATATGATGAAGTTTTAAGTATATATACGTATATATGTACATACATATGTTCTTAAAAACATACATACATATGTATGCACATGTGTATGTATGTACATGTGTATGTCTGTACATGTGTATGTATGTACATGTGTATGTATGTACATGTGTATGTATTTATACACACACACACACACACACACACACACACACACACACACACACACACACACACACACACACACACACACACACACACACACACACACACACACACACACACACACACACACACACACACACACACACACACACACACACACACACACACACACACACACACACACACACACACACACACACACACACACACACACACATACATACATACATACATACATACACACATACATACATACATACATACATACATACATACATACATACATATGTACATACATACATACATATGTACATACATACATACCTATGTATACACATACACACACATACACGTACATACATACACAAAAACACCAAAAAAAAAAAGCACTGCACTACTAGCTTAGCATGAAAAACTGAAGAGCCTACTTGAATTCTTGAGAATCGAGGAGTAGAGCACTTGGTAGAAATTCGTTTTATTCAAATTTTCAGCAAGCGACAAATAAGCTTGGTCTGTGTTTGGTATTAGAAAATAAACATGCATGCATACATATATACATAAATGCATACACACATGCATACAACCACACAAATATATATATATATATATATATATATATTAGAGTTGACTCTAGGTTCATGATTTGGCCTCTTGCTTAATTGCTTGCATTATTTATATTTTTTTAAACATAATAAACGTTCCACTGGCAAGGCCGGGCAATACCCGCTAGTAGAGAAAATACCTCTTGAAAATTTCACAAAACAAAAAACAAACGAGGTGTAATTTACAAAAAAAAAAGCAGGTTGTTTTATAGCTATTAAATTCATTTCTGTAAAAATCTGTAACTTACCACTTCTCTAACTTCGAATTGTGCGTTGATGAAGTCAGTCAGGACTGTTTATATATAACCATTAAATATTTCACTCTATTACTTAATACAATTAATTTCAGCGATGTCGTGTTTGCACAGATTGTGGGTCTCGAACACCAGGAGGTGGTAGTTCATCTCGATGGCACAGCCACTATACAATTTGCGACTCATGCTATCAACAGAGAAACAAAGGATTCTCATGTCCAATTTGCCAAAAGGCATATAGAGCTGCAGCTTATAAGGAAATGGTGAAATGCAGTTGGTGTCACAAGTAAGTAGTGAAAATAAAGTAAACCTATATTTTTTTAATCTCTTGACATTTTGGTGCATTAGATTTGTTCATAGCACATGTGATGAGGAAGCTGATTTGACTGCCTATCACAAGAAAAAAGAATATAACCCTGACTATGATTATGTCTGCCCTATTTGTAAAACAAGCTCAACTGCTACCCAACTTAAAGCCGTTGACCCGCTCGAACGATCCATTACAGATTTGCAAAACGCTGAGCAGTTTAATATTAAACATGTTGAAATCGAATCGTTAAATGGAAGAACATGTATTGAAGGGAACAGCGAAGATCCTCTGAAGTTGCCAAGCACTAAAAAGAAAGTTTGCTTAACTAACATTCGTGGCAAAGGAGGTAAGTTTGTGTTACACCGAATAGGAGCAATGTCACAGTTGGGAAAAAAGCGTAGCAATCGGGGAAAGGGACGACAACTTGTCCTTCAAACAGGCTCAAATGATCGTTACATAAGCCGTAATTTGGATACAGACCTTTCCAGTGACAAGAAAATGTTGTTGTGCTCGGCTCGTGATAAATTTGTACTTTCGCAAGATATTTGCGTAATGTGCGGAACATTGGGAATTGAAAGCGACTCCGTTCTAATCACGTGCGCACAATGTGGTCAATGCTATCACCCGTACTGCGCCAGTGTTAAACACTCCAGGGGCATTCTGCAAAAGGGATGGCGCTGCTTGGACTGTACTGTCTGCGAAGGTTGTGGAAAAAAAAACGACGAGGCCCGTTTGCTGCTTTGTGATGAATGTGATATTTCATACCACATATACTGTGTTAAGCCGCCTCTAGAGACAGTTCCACATGGCAATTGGAAATGTTCTTTTTGTACTATATGCCAGAAATGCGGTCGAAATCCAACCGAAAAAGTTAAGAACAGTGACGCGAGTTTGTCAGAATGTTTGCCCTGCGCAAGCCAAAATAGCTGTCCTATATGCAGAAAAGCCTACAGTGATGGGGAGATGATTATTCAATGTGAGCAATGTGAACAATGGTCGCATTTTCTTTGCGATTCAATAAACGCTCAGTACACAATGGAGTATTACGACAA